ATTAAGAAGCTGGGTGTCAAAAGGAGAGAGAGAACACAGGGGGTTGCCCTGCCACAGAGGCAGGGGGGGATGGGGGGATGGGGGTGGGGGGATATTATCCATGGTGGTGGAAAATGGGCACTGGTGGAGGGATGGGTATCTGATCATTGTATAATCGAAACCCAAGCACAAAAAATTGTAAATCTACAACTGTAATTAAAAAAAAGAAAAAAAATAAATATATACATATATCTATACACACACACACAAAAAAAAAGAAGCTGGGTGTAAGGGAGAGAGGGTGGGGACGAAATATGATGGCAACCAGAAGGGACACAAGATCAGGATGGTAGTGGAGGGCCTTGGGCACCTTGGTGGTGGTGAGGTGACTGGACACATCAAAACCACAAATGTTAACATTTTTATAAGCATGTGATCTCAATTATAATGATTACAATTTTTAAAATTTTAAAAAGAAGCAAGGATTGAATTGGCATATAATTTTACTTCAGATAGACAGGTATTTTTCCTGTAGTTTCTTTTGAAATCATTATCATTTTCCTGAGGGGGAAAAAACCTGATTGGATAGAAGCATTCACCCCTGCCAAGCTAAGGCATGGATTAATTTGCTGAAGATTTCTAGCCAGATTAGAAAAAGAGAGGGAGCCTTCAAGTATTTTGAAGGAAAAATAATAATTAAAAGAAAAATAACACCCTTTTATTATAGGAAAAAACCAGCTGCCTGAAATTGCTGCAGTGTTAACAATTATATATGAAATATCTGTATTATAAAGTAAGGCAAAATGCATTCCTGTACATGGACCTTAAACATAATTGACTCCTCTGAGGTTTTACCCTCAGGCCAGTACCACGAAGCCACAATAAATAGCTTTTAACTTTGCTGAGAATGTGCTATTTCTTAGAGGTAGCGAATCATACACATTTATTGAACATCTTCTATGTTAACTTTCATAGAAACCAAAAAGATAGTAAAAGAAATGATCATTATAAATATATTTCCATAAAATATTTAGTTCTTTCTCTACCCACTTTGTCTACATAGATAATGCCAAGGACCATTCCCAGTGCCACTTTCACCACACCTCTGTCTTTCACTGTCCTGTCCTTGGGACAGGCCAATCCAAAAGATTTCCTTTCACTGTTCTTCCAGGGACATTTACTCTTGCTTATACCTAGTTCAGAACCCTGAGACTTCCAAGTAGGGTCCCAGTGCTCTCAAACATCTCCCTGACAACCCAAAACTACCTTTTTAAGTACTTGGAACCTAGTCAAATAATGCTGACGAGAACCATCTTTACAGAATTGTCCTAGAAAATAGACATCCAATGTCATTTACTGATACATGATTCTTAAGAGGATAACTTTTTGATCATTATTTTCTTTTTAATTAGAATGGAAAGTGGCAGAATCCCAAGTAGAAATCTTCTGATGGTCCTTCCACACTCTAATGGGACACATAGTCTGCATACAGACAGATCCCTCTATCCCCTGTGTTCCAACTGAGACCTCAGGAGCCCCCATTAGAAGACTATGGTTTTCAGTAGAATGAGATTGATCTATGTCCACACATTCCTTTACTTCTCCATGATAACTGTATAAGGAGCACAATCTTTGGAAACAACCGAATCTTCTTCTTTCTTCTTCTTTCTATTTCTTTCTTCTTCTCTCCTCTTCCTCCTCCTCCTCCTCCTCTTCCTCCTCTTCCTCCTCCTCCTCCTCCTCCTCCTCCTCCTCCTCCTCCTCCTCCTCCTCCTCCTCCCCCTTCTCCCCTCCCTCTCCCTCTCCCTCTCTCCCTCCTTCCCTTCTCTCTCTCTCTCGGAAGTCAAATGCTGCTAGTCTACTGTTTTGAGATTGTTGAATTGGTACCAAGGCCCTCTCAGTTTTCTGGAGTTCTCAATACCATACAATGCCCTACTCAGGGTAACAAATAAATAAAACAAATAAAAGCAGAGCTATTTTCTCCTGATGGGCTGGACTATAGTATAGTGGGCAGTGCACTTGCTTTTCAGGCAGTATATCCGGGATCCCTGGCACCACATATAGCTCCCAAAGTCCTGCCAGGAGTGATCTCTGTGCATAGAGCCAGGATTAAGCCATGAGCACCCCTGAGACTTCTCTAGCCCCTCCCCCTCCAAAGCCCTATTTTCTCTTGACTGTAAACTAATTCAATACCAGTGATCACTGCCTCTCTCCCTCCTCTAACCAAGTAAACAACTATAGAGGGAGAACTCTTTGTTCATGGATGAGTCTCCTTCAATAGGCTTGAGAAACTTTTTTATAATCCTGCCTATCCCTTCTCTATCTGTGGGCCCTCTATGCTGCAACATTGTGTTTACCTCAAAGGATCTCGGTTGAAGATACTTCCAGTGAGTGATATCTTTGCAGTCTATTGTAAGGAACTTGTTCTAAACGTTCTAGCACTGAGAACTGAGGAGGCAAAACTGTATCCTGATTTCTGTATCAATTTAGAAATGCAACACAGGAAATGATGAAAAGGGCCTTAGAATTCAGCAAGCTGGCTCATTGTAAGCAGCTAGGGCTGTGGGCAAAGGGAACTGAGTACTTCATGTCAACTGGAAAATGTACACTTGCATTAATTTTATTTTGTATTCTTTTGTATGAAGTTAATTTTAATGAAAAGTTTTCCTCTGAGGAATATGTATACAATGGGGCTGGAGAGATAGCACAGCGGGTAGGGTGTTTGCTTTGCATGCGACTGACCTGGGTTCGACTCCCAGCGTCCCATAGGGTCCCCTGAGCACCGCCAGGAGTAACTCCTGAGTGCAGAGCCAGGAGTAACCCCTGTGCATTTTTGCCAGGTGTGACCCAAAAAGCAAAAAAAAATATTAAAAAATTTAAAAAAAGGAATATGTACAAAAGTATATGAGTATTCATCAAATAATTATTTCTAATATAAAAATGGTAACCTAAATGTCTATCACTGGGATTGTAGTAAACTGAAATCAACCTGTTTAACAGAGTGCTGGCCAGCAGAGAAAATGAACAAATTAGCACTAAGCATAAGGTAAGGTAAGGTAAAGGCCCTCCCGTTGATCGTCGATTTGCTCGAGCGGGCCCAGTAACGTCTCCATTGGAGACTTTGTTGTTACTGTGTCTGGCATATCGAATACTCTCGGTAGCTTGCCGAGCACTAAGCATATGTACCCAAATAATTTTCAAATAAATAATTATGAAGTTTAAGATACAAATTAGCTGCTAGGTAGAAATGGTCTTCAACAAGTTTCTGTGGTCTTCTTCCAACGGTGTCTTCTAAAATCTGTCCTGCCTCTGGATAGGTGACTGCCAATCCTTAACAAACTTATGGAAAAATTCACAAGCATTACCCAACCCCAGACTTGACTCCCATTTAGTTAGCCTGAGGAATCTATCAAACATACCAGTGTTTACTAAATGTGATCAGGATATCTTTGAGAAAAAAAATTAAATAAGCAAATGAAATCCCAGGAGCCCATCACCCTTTAAACCTTCATCACAAAATTATTGCTGGTGATGATCTAGGATTACATAGAGGTTGCATATAGGTACCAAGAAGTACCAATACTATGACTGTGTACTCACTAGTTATTATTCTTGTTTCATGCTCAACATCATGAAAACTCTTTTTTTTCTTCTTATATTTATTGATTGAATCACTGTGGGAAAAGTTACAAAGCTTTCAGGTCTAAGTCAAGGTCATACAATGATCAAACACCTTTCCCTTCACCAGTACTTATTTTTCACCACCAAGAACCCCAATATACCCCCCTCCCACCCCTCCCAATGCCTGTGAGGCAGATGACTTCTACTTAACTCTTCTCTACATTGATGACATTCATTATTTCGACAAAAGATGCACCATTATTGTGCAACAATCAGAATTGCTGAAAAGGCATTGTGAAATATTTTGTTTTCTATAGCTGGTTATGAGAATCATATAATGATTTTGGATTTCTGCAAAGAACCAGATCAATACAAGATTGGATTCTGTGCGTCTGTTGTTATGGCTGTGCCGGAGAGCTGCTCGTGGGGGGCAACTTGTGACCTCGGTAGGGCATGAAGAATGAGCCAGTACCATCCCCCTTCCCATGAGACTGCAGTTGCTCCGTCACCTCCGGCTCATACCTGGCTTTCCTATAAGCTCTGAGGCAGTGGCCACCTTGTATGCAGTCCAGATGCATTTCTGCCAAAAGTCGCTGGGTTTCGAGATTTGTTTCTGAGTCTCTGGGATCATGGCCGTGAAGCAGCTTGATCAGGAGCCAGAGAGGCCGTTTGTACGCGGGAACTTGGGGTCTCGTTGGGAGGGGAGGAAGGGCCTATTCCACCCCCATCTGGTGAGGCCCCGCCTTGTCTCATCACTGCACCCAAACCTGACTGTCCAGTGGCCTCTGGAGGATGGTGGTCACCAGGTTTCCAGGGGGAACAGGCCAAGGCATAAAACCTATTCCCACCTGGAGTGACCCAGCGCCAGTAACCTACTGCAGCAACAGGACACATTTCTGCCAAAAGCCTTTGGGTTCCGAGATTCGTTTCTGAGTCTCTGCGATCATGGCCATTAACCAGTTCGATCAGGAACCAGAGAGGCCATGCTTCCAATTTACATAGCTGAGCCGGAGGTGGTTTGTGGTTGTGTCTCCCACATACCTAACTTTTGGCTGTTTACTTTTTTGGTAAACTTTTCCCCAAGTTTTTGGGGTCTGGCCAAAGGGACAGCAGCAATTTTGTTGTATCTGAAAGTCTGACGGTGCCATCAGGCTGCTGATGCACTCGCCTCACAGGTACAGATTATGCTGGCAGCACCATAGCCCCGGGGGCACATACATTTCTAACCCTGGTTCAGTAATCTGTAAAATATTGAGTCCATGATGAATCCCCCCCCCCCAAATTTAAATAGCACAATATGCAGTCTAAAAATTGCAAGTATGTTTCTGACCAAAAAAAAATACCCTCAGTTGTCTTGGAAAATTAACACAAACATTGCTTTCTCCTTGTGTATTGTGCAGGGGGAGCAAGGCCCTCAAGGCTTTCCAGGAGTGAAAGGCATGATGGGCCGTGGCCTCCCAGGCCAGAAGGTAAGGTTTTCAGTACCTCAGAGAAATGACAGGCTCAGGATTTCCGCACCCAGGTTTGAACATTGGAAGGGCTCTCACATACTGTCATTCTCCTTACAATTATCCTTATAGTACTTTTCCCAGGGAAAAATGAGTCTGTTTGAAAATGGATATGCATTTCTTTTTCTAACTGCAAACATGTTTACTTTATAAAGTTTTACTATCTTAATCCTTAAATGTCAGCTGATAAATCCTTAGGCATACTAGATAGAAGATACCAGATAACTCAGGCATAATATTATTGATTAACTGAGCTTCCTGATGCCATAAGTTGACCCCATAGACTCTCCAGATCTCTTCTCAAGAGCATTGGTTTATTATGAATTAGATTATGGACTAGGAGGATATAAGTAAAATGCCCTTTAATCACGCCCCACCCCATAACATATTTATATTAATAAGAACCACAGGCCTTATTGAAAAGTGGCCAGTTGCAAATAAATCAAACTTTAGAATTTTTCTTACATTACATTCTAAATGATTAACATTACTAAATGATTATTTTTATTATAAAGGGAGAACATGGAGAACAAGGTGATGTGGGAAAGAAAGGTGATAAAGGGGAAATTGGAGATCCCGGATCTCCAGGAAAACAGGCAAGAAGTAATTTCTAAAGTGTTTCTGTAATTTTATACCTTATCTGTTTTCTACCTATATTGACTGTTACTCTTCTCCTACTAAGTAGGGGTTACAAGGACCAAAAGGAGACATAGGACTTACAGTGAGTATACATCCTAAGGATTAATTGAGGGGCTTATGCTTGCAAAATTATTGCATTTGTGTTTTAGCTTTAGATATAGGGATTTTTTTATTAAGAATTCTAGATGCTATTTGTATGCAACATTTTCACAAGTCCATTGTTGATTTAGATTCAGAAGGAAATTGAATCTGCAAGTGAGGGGAAAGCAAGAGCCACAGCCCATGTTCTGCCTCATGGTAGAGATGTGTTCTGTCAGATCTCTGAGAGAAATGGTCACATGGAGGTGATATTTTTTAAATAAGAGAAATGAACAAGTGTCAGTGACTTTTTATTTTACACTATCTTTTTACTTCAGAATGAAGGCTCCTTCCTCCCCCCAACAAGCTCCTTGAGGAAGTGTTCAGTGAAAATATTGATCATAAAGTTAGGATTACTCTTATGTTTTGATTCACTTCCTCTTCCTACTCCCTCCCCATTTCCCTATCCTTCTAAGTTCTATAACGTAGGGGGTAGGGAAATGTATTTTAAAGCCTGTTTGTCTTTTTCTTTCTGTTGTTTCACAATACAAGTCAGACCTCAAAGATACTGATAATGGATTAAGCAACTACATATGCAGCAAATCCTTCCTAGAAGTTGAGGGGAAAGTATATGACTAGAAGAATGCCCCCTAAACTTACACTTTTCCTCCTGACCCCAACACTGACAGTATGACGGTTTCCTTTATCTATTCCTTTTTCATTAATTTCTACACTATTTATTTGGCATGTATTCTAGGTCAGAGTGAGATAGGCACTGGGGGAACAGTTGAATATGGAATAAAAGAATGTGGAACATTTGTGATAGTGGGCCTCAGTGATTTTGTACATCAATCTAAATATTAACACTATTCTATCCATGTCACCTGAGCTCTAATTAGAAGATTAAAAGATGAAATATTTAAAAGACTCCAGAATAATAACAAAAAATAAGAATCCATGTCTCTGCACTCAGGGAATTCACAGCACAATGTAGAGAAAGATAGAAGATGTTTACCTACATCTTGATAAATGCTAGACTGACAGAAATGGATATAGTATTCTAGAGCAGGCACAGTGATTAATGATGATGTACAAGAGAAACACAGATTTTTTTTATCTCTCGGGCAGGTTTTTAACCACATGACCAAGGAACTGGAATGTAATTATGCAGAATTTTGACTTTCTAGATTCTAGGAAAAGAGACTTGCATGAAGAAAAGAGTAAAGGGAAAAAATGTCTGAAATAAAAATCTAGTATGTAAATGAGTGAAGACATCAAATACTATCAGGCAGTATTAGTGGTATTCAGATTGATACCATCCCATATAAGTACTGCAAGGTCCCTAGGACCCATTCATTAGAGTATCCACATTGAACTTCAGTCCTTCAGCTACACTAGAAACTCAGGAAGAGAATTTTATTCCTTTGAGTAAAAGGGAAAAACCACCCTTAACATATGACCCCATAATACACAGGATCTCATCACTATTTGTCCATATGACACCAGGTTTGGAGAGCTGACAGCAATGGTCTATATTATTGGGTTCACCCAAGAGACCTTTCATGCCTGCAAAGCTGCAAAGAAATGAAAACTAAACTTTCATAGGCTAAGGCGTCTCGTATAGGACAGGTGGGATGGGATCCAGTGGGAAAAGTCTTCAGGAAATGACCTTGTTTTGCCCAAGATCTCATGTTAGTTCTCCTTCGAACTTTTGTAGGATGGGTAGCATTAAACTTCACTTCGGTGAAAACATACTAAGTTAAATAGAGAGCTTGAGGAATATGCCCAAAGTTATCTTATTAGCGATTGCAGAACCCTTATAAATAGAGTTGTATTGTCTGATACTAAATTCAGGCTGTTCCTCCCACCCATTAATGCTGTTCTGAAAAGGGCATATTCCTCTCCCACTCCCATCTTTTTAATCAAAAATATCCCCAAACTGCTATCAATTTCAGATTCCTTGCAGACTAACAAGCTCTTTTTTTGATAGGCAAGTCCTATTGATAGAGTTCAGTGTTTTAATCATTCATGCCAAATTACTCCTAGAGGCCTGTTTCTCCACCTGGTTCCATAAATAACAGCATTTAAAAAAAAAGTCTGTCCTCAGTCTTATCTTCCCTATCTTCTAACTCAGGAAGGGAGAGATATTGAATATTGGTATTGAGTGGGTAGGGGTGTATATTTGATTAACTTTATACCATAGTAAAATTGTATGGAGAATGAAGATCGTTTTCATATTATAAACATAGTATAGACTGTGTTTGATAGATGGGGAAGGGTCAGGTCGCACAGATTTTTAAAAAGCTGAGAACTTGTACACTCTGCAATCTCATATATCATCTACTATTTATCTGATTCAACAGTCAGTCGTATATTGACATCCCTATCATGTGTCCCTACATGAACTCCTTTCCTGAGCACCAGATTACATCCTATTCCCTACTAGACACGTCCAGCTGAATATACCACAGATGCATCAAATTCAGCTAGCCCCAAGCAGAGTTAGCCCCAAGCATGTTTTTCATTAGTCCTCCACAAATCCCTGTTCTCCTCTTCGCTGCCTTAGCAAGTATACTATCATTAACCACTCTCCTTCATCCTGTCTTCTAATTACTAAGTGAAACCCTTTTTTTTCCCTCTGAAATGCTTTTCCAAGTCACAGCTTTTTAAATCCCCGAGAGAAAAAATCTGTCACCCAAGTAAACCCAACTCAAAAATTTAAAGATAGAAAGTAAGCATGCAAAAGGTGAGATGATCACATATTTCTTAGAGAATAATGAAATACTAGAAGAACACTTGTATATAGGAAGTTATGATTCAATGTTTAATGTTTAATAAAAAACTGTAGCCATAAAACTTGGTATGAAATATTTTCTCTAGTAACAAAATGAAGCAAATATACACATTACTAGAGATATAATATGGGTACATACATATGTGCATTTCCCTTTAAAGACATACTTTAGTTTGAATTTATTAAACCCTTTCTAAATGGGGAAAGCATGTCAAGGCATTAAAAAAGATGACTGCTAATATCCTCATTTTACATAATTTCATTGATATTCTACTGGGATTTCCTTTTAAATGGCACTTTGAAATCACTGAATTGTATTCACTCTACAGTAATATAAATAAAGCAAAATTAAAATATCCTGAATTTTCCCCATATTTATCTTAAGCTATGTCATCAGCTACACATCTTTACCCCAATGCCATCATTATAATTTTTTTCTCTAAAAGTTTCCTTTCCATTAATTTTGATCTTAAGTTAGGTCCAGTGCTCTTTTCTGTTGAGAGTTTTCTGGACTTGTGTTTCTTTTATCTATTCAGTTCATCAGTCTGTTCAGTACCCTCTCAGTTCTTTGCAAAAACACTATTTAGAGAGGACATTCACAGATTTCCTTCTAGTACCCAACTCAGCTAAGGCCCTTCTGATAGAGCAAATGGGCTCAGGACATTGAGATGCATGAACATCTTTTGAACAGTCAGCAGGGAATATTAGGAAACTAGAGAGGGGTCTCAAATAGTGGGACCAGAAAAGAGGAGGTGATGCAAAACAATAGAGAATGAATTCTCTTCTCTGGTTCTTCTCTGGCTGCTCAGTACATGTGGTTAAACTATGTGACTGAATTCATGCTCTAAGACTTTGTGGCACATGACTTTGTGGGAAGAGCTCCATGTGTGTTGCCTCTTTTAACCAATACCACAGCCCTGAGATGCAGAGAATTGGGTCATCTCATACGTGATAGTCACGATATAAACTTCAAAAGTCTGAGCAACTGCTGTTTTATAACTCAAACACATTTTAGTCGTGATGTAATAGAACTGACCTTTGATCTTTATGCTATTTAGTAAGGGAGCAATGAAATGAAAGGGCTCAGTGTTGACGCTAATAAGACATAATTTTTATGAGTATAAGAAAAATACTATGGTTATAGATTAATATTTTTTTCTTCCAGAAAGAAGAAATTATCAAACTTATTTCAGAAATATGTGGTAAGATATGACAGAAAAAAAGATATTTTGAGGTACAAACCCAACTAAAGTCCTATGCTGGTGACAGTATCATATTTATCAAGGAGGGAAGCACAAGCCCATTTAAAAGTCGATGGGATACTGAAAAGAAGCAGTAAAGTTTATAAGAATCCTGTTTTAAGAAAAAGAAATAATCTTTTCAACATGGTTAAGAAGCATGAAGACATGACCTAGAGTCTGTGAGCAGTTAGGTTTTTTGTAAGCACAGTGATTATTTGTGCTTAGTGATATTTATCTGAGTTAGGGAAGCAATACACAAAAAGATAATATGACCTTAGGATCTACCTGATATTTCAGTGCTGCCTGGCTGATGATTATTGTCAGCATTTTTCCTGAAACAAGAAATCTCTGTGAGTACTCTTTTATGACTCAGCAGGAGCAGCTATTCTTATGTATGGTTAAAGGTTTTAATCTTTCACTCACAGATGTTTTATTTGATTTACCCATTGGCAATGCCCATACACAAATATTCATTTACATATAGGATACAGCTGAAGACTGAAGTACTAGCTTTCAGATTCAGATTAAATATAAATGGTAGATAATGTAAAGCAAATTTATAATTGTGAAAATATCTTAGGGAGAGGGATATATATGTAATCAGAAAGGCATAGGCAGGGATGCTGACTTTTGAAAAAAAAATTGGAGAGCACACCCAATAGTGCTCAGGAACTATACCTAGCTCAGTGTTTAGAGGACTCTGTAATCAAATTTAAGCATTCTGTGTGCAAAGCATGCATTATAGCCCTAAGGGAATGCTGGCTCTTGAGAGATACTTAAGGTATTAATTTGAGAAATTGGCATAAAGTGTTTATCATTTCCTTGAATTGTGTTGTGTGTGTGTGTGTGTGTGTGTGTGTGTTTGGTAACTTTGTCTTTTTTTTTCAATTGAATCATCATGAGATACCCAGTTGCAAGTTTGCTTAGTACTGGGTTTCAGTTGGGCTGGAGCGATAGCACAGCGGGTAGGGCGTTCGCCTTACAAGCGGCCAACATGGCCGACCCGAGTTCAATTCCTCCGCCCCTCTCAGAGAGCCCGGCAAGCTACCGAGAGTATTCGATATGCCAGACACAGTAACAACAAAGTCTCCAATGGAGACGTTACTGGGCCCGCTCGAGCAAATCGACGATCAATGGGAGGGCCTGGGTTTCAGTTATAAAATGTTCCAATACCTATCCAGCGACCAATGTACATTTCCCACCACCAATGTCCCCAGTTTCCCCCCACCCATTCTCTCACCAGTGCCCAGTAACACTGTCTTACCAAATAGGCAGAGACAGCAGAAGGGATGAGTGGTCAGTTGTGCTCACAGTCAGTCACAGAAAAGGATAGAGATAATCTAGGCCAGGGGTTTGTCCTTGTCCTTCTATCCCCTCAACTCACCCAACTGGAGTTGATCTGATCCCAATCAGTGATCTGATCCCAATCAGTGATGTTTGCATTTTCATTCCTGCAATATGCTTCTGTCTCAATCTTCATCTTTTAGGTTGTGGACCCAAATGCAAAGAGGTTCCATTAGAGCTAGTGTTTGTGGTTGACAGCTCAGAAAGTGTGGGGCCAGAGAATTTCCACATCATCAAGAATTTTGTGAAGATTCTGACTGATCAGGTAGCTCTGGACCTTGCTCGCATAGGCATAATCAACTATAGCCATAAAGTCGAGAATGTGGCTCACCTGACCCAGTTCTCCAACAAGGATGAATTCAAGCTGGCTGTGGACAACATGCAATACCTGGGGGAAGGCACCTACACAGCCACAGCACTTCGTGCAGCTAACCACATGTTCGAGGCTGCAAGACCAGGTGTAAAGAAGGTGGCCTTGGTCATCACTGATGGACAGACAGATAACCGTGATGCAAAGAATCTGTCTGATGTGGTCAAGAATGCCAGTCGCATTAATGTGGAAATATTTGTGATTGGGGTGGTAAAGAAAAATGATCCCAACTTTGAATTATTCCACAAAGAAATGAATCTGATTGCTACCGACCCAGATAGTAAACATGTTTATCTATTTGATGACTTCATTACACTGCAAGGTGAGACTTTCAGCTCCAAGTGAAAGGAATTCCTCTTGTTTTCTATCACAAATCACTGGCCAAAGATGGGTATCAGGAAGCTATTCAGTCTTATGCCAATATTAAATTATAACACATGAACTCTAGGAAGTAAAGAATAAAATTAGTATCATCCTGTTTATAGTATAGTATCCCTTGTCTTTGTTTATTTTTAATAAGTTCTGGGTTCAACTTGGAGTTGTTTGGGGTGTCTGTCAAAAATATAGATAAATGGGGCCATAATGATAGTACAACAGGTAGGGCATTTGCCTGGCCTGTACTCAACCTGGGTTTGATCCCCAGCATCCCATATGGTCCCCAAGCAGTGCCAGGAGTAATTCTGAGTGAATAAACAGTAGTAACTCTTGACCATCCTTGAGTGTGACAACACCCCCGCAAAAAAAAAGCCAAAAAAAAAAAGATAAATGAAAAAGAAATGATAGACTTTTGGTGTATTGCTAAAAGTAGTTAATGTTCAAAGTGTGAACTTATTTGAATAAAATACAGATTAAATTAGCAGCAAGGCAGAAATTAAGCACAGAATCAAAGCGAATTAAGCATGCTGAAGGAAAATGTGTTGGCACTCTGAAGAGGTGGGAAACACAGATAACTGGAGTTATTCTATTCCCTGTTCTTTTGAAAACAGATTATGAAGAATAAACCATTTGATGTCAGGAATTTATCTTGAATACATTTTAGATATTCCTCTTACAGCCAATTTTAATGGGTTGTCCTACGTTTATTTCTTTCATGTGGATGATAATATTCTCTATCCAATTGATGTGTGCTGTTTTCTATATAATGTGAAACATGCCAATTCTTTGCAAACTGATTATGCATTCTGCCAGGACCTGCATCTGGCAAGGCTGTGAAGTAAGGAAAATGTATGCTTAATATAATTGCAAATTTCAGTTTGGCTTCATTCTTCGTCCTCCAACCACCTGGGTGTGAAGCTTGACTTGGCTTGGCACAGGCCTGCTTGCCTCCTGCCATACCCAGCCTATTTTGGGTAGCAATTCAGCTGGTCCTAAACACAGCATTACCATGTTCAGAGCATTCCCACTTTCTTTTCCCCTTTTTCTTCAGAGCTTTCTGGCCTGGGATACCATTTCCTTAGTACCCCATGCTGGAAATTTTTAAAAATCTATTCAATATCACTGAATTGTTAATATGTTAGAATGATTAATACTATAGATTTTAAAGAAAAGTTATATTTCAATAAGAACTTTATTATCTCTTTTTGAAATTTATTCACTTACTATGATAACAGTGTTAATAGGAATGAATGTGCGCCAGAGTGATTGATTGTCCAGAGGGTAATCTCTTGTCTTGCATATGGGCAACCCAGGTTTGATCATCAGACACACACCGCCATCCCACCCCCACTCCAGCACTGCCAGGAGTGATTCCTGAGTGCAGATCCAGAAGTAGCTTACCTTGAGTATCACCAGGTGTGCCCACCCCCACCCCCCCAAAAAAAATTCAGTAATGTTATGTTGCTACAGCATACTTGCCACCAGAGTACAGGCATTCCTCTCACTCCATCACATCCCTCTGCATGCCTCTAGGCACCCTGTCAACTGTACCCCACCCCCATCACTGAGAAAACTCAACTGTATAGTTGGAATTTGGGGTTCTGTTATGGATGATCATTATTTGTCCTTTTACAATGTTTCTTTGACGTTTAATTTGTCCCCATTTTCTTATCTCTTTCCTTTGGGGACTCCAATAATTTGGATGTTGGTCCTATTAAAATTATCCCATCTCTCTCTGTTGTCTTAATTTCTTTTCATTCCTTTTCTTAATGAATACTTTCATGTATCTTTTACCAGCAGGAGGCCTTTGTCCAGCTTCCTGTTCAGGCCCCATGTAGGTTGACATACATTAGACTTTGTATGGGGTTTCAATTCTCCATTTCTTTCCCTTGGCCACTGTCCATGCCTCTTTGCCCCTATCCTATCCCTGGGGCCATTCCAAGTCTTAATGTTCTGGGGCTCCCATGTGAATACTTTCCCAGAGCTGTTTTCTGGTTACTCCAATGCACTTCCTCCATAGGGCCACATGTGGGATCCTGTGGTATTTTCTGTGTCTTGGACCTGATTCAGTCTCACAGTTACTGTTCTCCGTGGCCCAAATTCCAAGAACTTTAGCAATTTCCCAAATAATTTAATAACTTGTTCCAGACAGTCAGAAACACAGTTTTGGGCTGACTTGTCTTTTGCTATTCCTATAACCCGAGGTAAATGCTTATTCAACATATGGGTGAGGCTCACCCCTACATAGAATAACTCACAGCAGACAATTCAGATAGGCAAAGATTTAAGTCACTCTTATTCATTTGGAGTCATCACAGAGTAGTACATTTATTTTAAAAAAGGTTTTAAATGATCTCTTGCAAATGATCAAAAATAATGCTTTAATACTTAGTTCACCTAGCAGTGACTTTAAATGATATAAAACTGTTCAATTTAAGGAGAATTCAGAATTAAATTCTTTAAAGTTTTTAAATAATTTTTATTGCTCCTATCTCCCTTTTTTTTCTCTTTCAAAAGATACCCTGACACAAAAATTGTTTAGGAAAAACTGTGAGGATTTTGATTCCTACCTTTTTCAAGTTTTGGGTTCACCACTTCAACCTGGATTGGTGACTTCAGGGGGAGAACTCAGTGAACCTACTCCTGAGCCTCAGAAAGCAATGCCAGAATCTGTAAGTAATTGTTTTATTTAACTATATTTGGGAGCTTAAAATTCTGTATGTCTTACACAAAAGATCACCTTGCCCTGCACCCTCAAGAACTAGCTTAGGGGATCTGGGTAATGACTCAGTAGTTAAAGTGCCTGCCTTCCAAGCATGAGATCATGAACTTAATCCCCAGTGTCAGTACATGTATATGATTCTGCAGCTCTGTTCCTTGTAGATGGCAGCTCGTCTCTGATGACAAATGCTTCAGACTATGTCCTACATGAGTCAACCAAATATATGCAAGAACCACAGCTTAAAGGTTCAATCCTTGGAGAGCACCATAACTGAAAAATGTGTAAATATAATAACCAAGGATGTGTGCAATCCCTGGTCATCAAATACCACTATCAGAGGGAAAAGAAGGGGACAGAGAATTAGCTAAGGTTCATGTCAGTTCTTGAATATAAATATTAGTACTTTATCTCTAGATTTCTATTTCTAAGATAGCTTCTATTTCCTTTCACAGGGACTTCTGAGAATGAATATCAAATTTACAAATATTTCTATATCTTAGTATTATCATTTATTAAATATTGTAAATAATATTCTTATGTTACACCCTACCACCAGGTTGATTTATGAACACCAGAACAGATTAAAGCACCATATTTGAACAACCCATTTTTTATGCCAGTTTTTAAACTGGGATTCCATATGGGTTGTAGCACTTGTCTATACTTGGTTGTGTGCATCAGAGCTCACGTATATTCTTGTTTCAGCAACAGCACAGGGTATTGAAGTTAAGCCTCGTAAAGAGAAGGTAGGGGTTCTAACACAGAGTCATGTTCCAGAGCCCTGAGATGAGGACTTAAAGCATCTTTTAACTATGTGAATCCACTGCTCAATTTGTACTTATTCAAGCTTATTCAAAGCACACACAGGCTTACTCTGCCAGCTCTTTAAGTCATATTGGTGCTCACTTGGCTTTGACATCTTATGCTCTATATAAGAAGACTCTATATGCTCATGATACAAGGTGAATGCTTTGTTTAAATAATGTGTGCTTGACAGAACCTTCTCCTGAATGTTTAGAGACAATTACTGCTCTCAGGGTTTAGAACACTGAACCTTGCCAATCAGCTCACAAGCAATCGTTAAATTATTTTAGGTGAAATTTGGAAAGCTGTCTGTTATTACTGGTAAGTGCTATAATCTCTTAGCCCCCAATTTTTAACTCAAGCAGGTGTAGCCCAATACCTATCACATTTTTGGACATCATCTTGCAGACAGCTAAACAGCAGTCATAATTCTTCTCTGTGAGCTCAATGATGTCCCTGTATTATTCTTTCATGCGTGTTTTGTGATAATGATAGATCAATATGAGCAAGTCTAACAGTATTCTAGTTATTTGGCTAGACTAAGAACCAGAGAAAATTTCTGATCGACAATTGTACCAAGAACCAATCTTGAATGTTATTTATAGAAGTAGAGATGACAGAACTCACCAGACATCTGGAGCGATAGCACAGTGGTAGGGCGTTCGCCTTACAAGCGGCCAACATGGCCGACCCAAGTTCGATTCCTCTGCCCCTCTCAGAGAGCCCGGCAAGCTACCAAGAATATTCGATATGCCAGACACAGTAACAACAAAGTCTCCAATGGAGACGTTACTGGGCTCGCTTGAGCAAATCGACGATCTAAATACAATCTCTGAGATAGGCAATTCAAATAGGTCAACAGGATTATAGGTTGAAATCAACATGCACATCTATACTTCATGGTCTAGATCAGTGACCAATAAACTTTCTATAAAGGGCCATGTAGTAAATATAATTTTAGGTTGCAAGTACTTTGACTTCTGTTGTAATTACTTAATTTTCTTGAGTCAAAAAAGAAGCAATAGCTAATGATTAATTGAATAAACATGATTGTGTTCTTATAAAAAGAGACAAATACTTGTAATTGATGTATAAAGATTTGCTGATCCTGGTCTTTTCTGAGGATTTCTTCCAATTGATTTATCATTGACTTGCAATATTAGAGCATTTCAGGGTATTGTTTAATACCTTTTAAAGTTTCTAGGATTCATTACATCCATGATGCAAATTCCACTGCCATCCACAATCACAAACAGTTCTTTCCTCTTTCCCCTACCTACCTCCTTTACCAGAATTTTAAAGAAAACAACCAATAATAATGTGTATAGTCTGTCTCTTCTTTAGTATGAAATGTTACTGGGCTCTTGCCACTTATATGACTTATTATGTTGTGCCTCCCCTAGTCAATCCCTGTCCATTTCTATCTTCCAAAATAAGAACTCCAGTTTCATTAAACAAGGGCTACACAAACTGGCACTTCTCATGATCAAGAAGAGTAGACAGAATTTTGGAAAGGAAGCACAGTTTAGGAGGCTATTTCTGGAATAGAAAGAATGGGTTTTAATGATTGCATGAATGAGAGGGTAGGGAGAAGGGACTTGGGATGTTATATTTTAATCTGATCTAAAAGAAATATTCGAGACCTCAAAGTCATAAAACCTGACTTAAAGCTTCAATGTATCAACTAAATACTTAATATCCTCAACTTCTATGTTCACATTATCCCATTCTATTATTTTGGAGGTTGAAATTCACCTATGTAATGTGTTGCATGTCTTAATGACTATTTTAAAAATTTATACTGCATCTCACAATGAATGACACCTTAGAAATGTCACTTGACAGGTGCCTGACATTGGATAAATCTTTGACATTGGATGAATGCTCATTTGGATGAACACTTCTTTTATTACTTTTTAATCCCCATGAGATACATGTTACAAAGTTGTTCATGATTTTCAGTCATATAATGCTCCAACAACCTATCCCTTCACCAGTGCACTTTCCCTGCTACCAATATCCCCAGTTTCCCTCCCACCCAGCCCTATCTCCATCCTGTCCCCACAGCCTTCCTCTATCGCAGACACCTCAGATGCCTCTGTGTGTGTGTTTTGCAATACTGTTACTGAAAGGGTATCAAGCATATTACTTTACCTCCTTTCAGCACTCAGTTTTTGTCCAGAGTGATCATTTCCAACTATCATTGTCAGTGTCATAGTGATCCCTTCTCTATCCTAACTGCACTCCCCCCTCTCACTATGTAGCAAGCTTCCTACCCTGGATCAGTCCTCCTGATCCTTGTTTCTACTGTCTTTGGATTTTATTCACACACAGCAGTAGGGCGTTTGCCTTGCACACAGCGAATATGGCCGACCCACGTTCGATTCCTCTGCCCCTCTTGGAGAACCCGGCAAGCTACCGAGAGTATCTCGCCCGCAGGGCAGAGCCTGGCAAGCTACCCATGATGTATTCGATATGCCAAACACAGTAACAACAAGTCTCACAATGGAGATGTTACTGGGCTCGCTCGAGCAAATCCATGAACAACGGGAGGACCGTGACCGTGACTATTCCTTATATATGTATATCTATGTGTATATTTATATGCATGTCATACATATGCCGCAAATGGGTGCGATCACTCTATTTGTCACTCTCTGATTCATTTGACTCAGCATGAGTCTCTCCATGTCTACCCATTTATAAGCAAATTTTGTGAATTAATTTTCCTAACAGCTGTGTAGTGAGTGTTCTATTGTTTAGATGTACTACAATATCGTTATCCACTTATCTGCTCCTGGGCACTTGGGCTGTTACCAGTTTCTGGCTATTGAAAATACTGCTGCAGTGAATGTAAGAGTAGAGATGGCTTTTCTGCATTGTGTTTTTGTACCAGTAGGGTATATTCCCAGGAGTGGTATTGCTGGGTCATATGAGGAACGTCCATAGTATTTTACAGAAAAGTTGGACCAATTGCTATGCCCATCAGCAGTAAATGAGAGTCCCTTTCTCTGTGCATCCATGTCAGCACTGGTTTTCTTTTTGATGGGATCACACATTTCTTGAGGACTTCATTTCCTAATTTGTAAAATAATAGATGTTTATAAGAATGCTCTTCCTGTTCTAAAAGTGTATGACTACAATGGCCAAAAAAATTTACTGGGAAATGTCAGAATGGAGGGCATAATACTAATGTTGAGGAGATTTAAACAAAATAAAATCCCACAGGCAGTCAGAGGTGGCACAAGCTCAAGCTTGAGGTGTTTTTGATGATTCTCAGCGCCTTAAGTGCAAATAAAGTCCACTTGGGTACATGCTTAAGTGCTGGGAGTCTGGCAAAGAAGAGTTCTTACCTGCAAGGGTCAGTCAGGGCTAGATCCTGAGAAGCCAGACATCTTGAAGAAATTGGCCAAGGAGCTAGCTGGCAGAAGACCACAGCCAAATGGGAGAAATTTGGACCCATGCTGCTGGGAAACTCTAAGTCTGAACACATGGCTAATGCAGATGATCATTAGCATTCAGCCAGAGCAGACATGAACTCAGATTTGTAGAGCTTGGCTGTAATACTATGCAAGATTTTCGGTAGTGAATTACAAAGAAATATGTTTGAGCACTGGGAATGAAATAGTCTTTTGGAAATGTGTGGTGCCTGGTTAGTAATCCTCTTTTAGTACATAGATTCATGTTCCTTGGAAGCCGATCTCCATTTGTTTTATTTCTTTATAAAAGCTCTAGCCTGAGGATGAAAGGGAATGATAGCTACACATCTGGCAGCACAAAGCCACCCCACATACCAGGCGGGTCCTTCACAAGACCCAAGACTCTTTTCTTGTGTCTTGGAACTGAGTCCCGGCTTGGAGCAAGGACCATTGTCTCCTCCAAGGCAGGCCAGTGTGGGAGACCAGAGAAATGTGCCAAACTTATAGACAGACTTATATTTTTTATTTTATTATATTTATAGGTCAGGTATAGGGACCCACATTTCCTGGCCATGGCAAAAGAGTTGATTTTGAGAGCTTGATTCAGAATAGAAAGTGAAGCAGCATATAAGGAGGTTAGAAAAAGATGTGGTTAGTGGAAAGCAAGGTCAGAAATGTGTGGAGAAGACAGATTGCAACAGGAATGCATTAGCTCTGTTGGAGAGTTTTTCATTTAGTATACTGGAAATTATCTCCTTTTTCATCCATAATATATAATCATCAATTATATCTTTAAAAAGATAGTAGGATGAAAGCAATATTACAGAAGGTAGGGCATTTGCCTTGCATGCAGTTGACACAGGTTCAGCCCCCAGCATCCCATATTGCCCCCAAGCACAACCAGAGTAATTCCTGAGTGCAGAGCCAGGAGTAACCCCCGAGTACTGCGAGGAGTGTCCCAAAAAAACAAGAACAAGTAAAAACTTAGAAAACTAAATATTCAATATACATTTTCTTTTGTTAAAAACAAAGTTTATGAAAGGAGAAGAAAGGGAATATGGATGGTTAATTTCTCTGTAAACTGGGATTACTTATGATTTCTATTTTCCTTTTTTCAGATTTTCTAAATTTCTTTCAATAACAGTTTTGTTTTTGCAATTAAGAAAATAAAAATGGTCAACCATAACATTTATTCACATAGAATTTTTAAAATAATATTAAATCTTGTAGATATTTAATCTTGTAAAGACTAATTTTGAAATCTTGAAATAAGAATATTTTTAAATAACATTAAATTTTGTAGAGATTTAATCATGTTCTCATATGTAAGTAAAGGATAATTAAAGTCTTTCTAGAACCCGAAATTTATGATGCTGTAGAAACATTCAAGATTCACAAATGATTGAGAAAGAAAGCACACTTCAAAATTTATAAACGATAAAGAATTGCATATGAGGCCTTCAGACTTGAATGACATAAAGAAGTAAAGGCTGACTGAATCCTTTAAGGCAACTGTGCTATTTATGCTATCTCAAAGGAACATCTTTTTCTGGAAGACAGCATACCCTAGGTTTAACCCCGTTTATCTTGATTTTTAACATATTTCTCCCTCTAACTTAAATATATACAGGCAGAACAACAAAAATACTTATTTTCTGGAACATCATTCTTTAGACCTTTCTAGGAGCTAACCAAATATTTGGAAAAGTCCTCAATCATTTGGGACTTCAGATTTATAAAAATTGAGGTACTGAGAAAGTTTTCCTTTAGCCTTGAAATGCTCTGGTCCTATTTTTATTACAAATGTGCACATTAAGATTGGCATATATCTGGTAGGAATGAGGGATGAAATTGGGGACATTGGTGTTGGGAAATGTACACTGCTGAAGGAATGGGTGTTGGAACTTTATATGGCTGAAACACAGTCGTAAACAACTTTGAAACTGTGTATGTCAGTGTGATTCAATAATTAATAAATATTTCAAAACATTTTTTAAAAAGATTGTCATATGTACACAAATGGTCATTCTGAAAAAAGAGAAAACTGAAAAAAAAGCAACCTCAGTTACGTCTATCATACTAAAGTTGTATTTGGAGACTAGTGAAAAGTCATTACTGTATTTGAATTGCGTGTTCTTTAGAGGAAGCTAATAACCAGATCATTTTCAATGGAAATATTTGCTCTTATTTAAATGGCATTATTTTAATTACTATGAAAAGTATACAAACATGGGTAATACAATTGATTATCACTTCCCTGTGACGTCTGAGTGATACAAATGTACCAGTTCCAAGCAGGAGAATAGCTAGAGTTGGGACAGAACAGGTAATGATGACATTATTTTTAAGATTGAACACATTTTCTTCCTAGTTTCCTCACATTTTATAAGTTTAGATGGAATTCAGAAATTTTAACCCACAAAATCTTGGGTGGTTATAATTCTTTGTTCCCTAGGAAATGTTTCTTAGAACCTGAAGTATTTGGCATTCATTGGTTTCTAGTTGATAGGAAGGCAGACAAAAGATGTATTCAGGTGCAATTTAGGTAAATAAATAAATAAGAAGAAATTTTATTATGACTGTTTTAATTTTAGCTCTATTATTAAACCACCGTAATTCCAGTCCAAAATGGGTTTTATAGTTGGTACTTTGTGAATATATTAAGTCCTCTGGTGATTAGAAATGTAGAGGAAAAGGCCATGGAAAAAAAGCTTAAAGAAACTAATTGTTATTTTCCTCCCTTATACCAGTTACTAGAAAAAATGAAGAAAAACATCTCCCAACATCATTATATCTCATATTCTTCCTGACTCTCTCTCCCTAAAATACTCAAAATCTGGTGGTAGAAATGAGAGTATGTGTGTATAAATACACTTGCAACCACGTAAAGTGGAAGGGAAATCTACAACTTGGGTCTTCATGGTTGCTTGACATAGAAGAGGGGCATTATTTCCTGAGCTTAAATTTATATTGGAGAACTGGAGAAAAGTATCAATGGTGAACTGTTTGTTGAATGTTCCCAAAAGATAACTTACTCATGATTTGATACTCTCAGAAATCTAAAAATAAATTTGTGTGTGCCTCATGTTTGTGTGTCTGTGTTGTTGTTGTTGTTGTTGTTGTTGTTGAATGTCCCTGGAGTCCAGGACAAAGAGAACCAACCCACAGAGCTTACTTGGTCTGACAGCCTGGCTGCCACTTCTTCATCAGAGGGTGCAACAACTCGAGGACCACTACTCAACACCTCAAAAGATGAGAAAGAAGGTCTGGAAACCCAAACTCCAAGTCCCATTTTGATTATACAGTCAGAAAAATTGGTGCATAAAGGTAAAAAGCAGCTAGCAGTAAGTTACATATCTATTGGTGTATGGATTGAAGGAAGGATCTCAATCAGAGAGAACCTGTTAGGACTCTAAACAAAGAGGGGAAATTTTTTTTCACTTTATTATATGTAGAATTAGAAAATTGACTGGCTATGTAACAACCATAGTCAATAACAGATTTTCTATTCTTACAGAATAATAATTTGTTATAATTAGTTTTGATGAGTTAATAATTTAAAGGTTTTCAGAGAGAATTTATCTCATGTCTGCTACAATGCCCACAACTCCCTATAATCGTATATGTGGTCTTCATCCACGTTATCTATCTCCCAGAACAAAAGGCTTAGAAAACAGAGCCTATTTTGTTTTTCTGTGACTCATATCACATTGAAAGCACATCCCCATGGATTATGAAATAAAACAATAAGGAAAGGCCACGGAATTAAAAGGAACTTAATGAATGGTTTTATTGTGGCAGCGTTTTCTCTCTCTCGCTTCTCTCCTCTCTCTTGTTTTTTTCTTTTCTTTTAGAGTGTGTGTGTTTCTGAACTTTACTTATAAACTGACAACAGAAGGTCATGTTCTTACTGTCCTGCAAGAAATAATCTTTTAAAAACAAACTTTTATTTGATTCAAGGTAGTGCTTCATTTAATTTCATTTTTAACTTCAATAGATGTTTTTAATTGGACACAATTATAAGTAATTGTAGCAACGCTTTCTCTTGCAAGATCTGGCATGTTCAGGGTGTTGTGGCCGTAGAAGGGCTGGAGCGATAGCACAGCTGGTAGGGCGTTTGCTTTGCACGAAGCTGACCCGGGTTCGATTCCTCTGTCCCTCTCCAAGAGCCCGGCAAGCTACCAAGAATATCCCGCCCGCATGGCAGAGCCTGGCAAGCTCCCCATGGCGTATTCAATAAGCCAAAAACCGTAACAAGTCTCACAATGAAGACATTACCAGTGCTCACTGAAGCAAATCAATGAACAACAGGAGGACAGTGCTACAGAGCAGTGCTTTCTATGAACAAAATAGAAGGGAATGTATTCAGAAAGCCAAAAACAACTTCATTCACATATGAATTTGATGTATATAGAATAGAAAGCAAATGAATAGGTTCTCTCTAGTGTCAGCTAATCCCCACAAGACTGTTTAGCCAATTTGTTTGCCTTTAAGGAAATATGCATTTTAATGGTGACTTATCAATATAAAATGCCATTATGTTTTAAAAGGAATAAATATCTAATGGTGGAAGAAATATTATGCATTTTGGGGACTTTTTCATTTAGAACTTTATTTTCTCTTTTTTAGATTTTGTAAGAGTGTATGAAGAATAAATTCATGAAGATTTTGCTTTTTATATTGTCACTGAAAGAAAAAAATAACACGTTGTTTTCTCACCCTAGATCCTAGATGTTTGGAATCCCTGGATCCTGGAAATTGTGACAAATATGTTGTTCGATGGTACTATGATAAGGACGTCAATTCTTGTGCCCGTTTTTGGTTCAGTGGCTGTAATGGTTCAGGAAATAGATTCTACAGTAAAAAGGAATGTCAAGAAATCTGCATTCAAGGATGAGAAAGTAAATTTATTTGCAATGAATGATGTCTATCAATAATCTAAGACCCTCTATAACTTCAAATATTTACCCATTGTAAATAGCACCATATTTGAATACAAACAGTACTTATACTTGTAGACATAAGCTAATTCTTATAACTATCCACCATTACTCCCTACTTCCATCCCCCAGGATGGAGGGATTAATAGCTTTTTTAACAGGTGAAAAGCTGAAGGTTCTGAGAAGTTTAGTAATTTGTTGACTATCACCCAATTAAAAAGTGCAGAACTGGATTATGACCCAAGACTTTAGAACTTCAAGATATAGTCCTTTATGTGTGGGATATAGACTTCCTAAAAGAATATCAAATGTGCAAAGGCAATAGAAACAAAGAGCAGGAGAATTGGTATTCAGTAGGAAGTTTGCCACTGGGGAAGGAACGTGTGTGTGGTGGGGAAGGAGATTAGTTAGGGAAGGGAACTCTAGGACAACTATGGAGAGAAAATACACTGCCACAGAGGCAGACTGGGTGGCAGGAGGGAAACTGGGTACACTGGTGGAGGCTAAGGCACATTATATGCCTGAAACTCAACACATATTATCTTTGTAATTCAGTTATTTAATAAAAATTAAAAATAAATACAGACTCTACTTCCCAGCCTGTAATATAGTCTTAATTTTGGTTGCTTCCTATTTTGCATGTTACAGATTAATCTCCTACCCCAGACCTCCCTGTATTCTCCCTGGTCCTCTACTTTCCCCCCATCTATTTAATCCCCCCAAATCCCGTCATAGCACTGTCAGTAGCAAAAGGAAGGCCATGGGAAAAGGCTTTGTTTGGGAAATTAGGAATTAAAGGTGATAGGTGTGTTTTGCATAAGAGCTGGCAAGACAAGAAAGATAACCTGCTTGGAAGAGACCCAGCAAGATATAATAGTTCTAAGACAGAGAATTAGGATCAAAATGGAATGGTGAAAGTAGCTAGATCCCTCCCCCCGCGCGCACATACACACACACATTCTTTCCTTTTCTATTGCTGTTGTGATAACTGGGAGTCATATATTTGCTTACAGTGTTCCCACACTTGAATATGATGTTGGAATTGTATTTGGCAGGTAGGACATGTCAGGGAGCAAAATCCTAATCTCATGCCTGAAAGGCAGGTACTCTACTAATGAGCTGTCCTGGTCTCCCAAGGATAGTTAGATGTGTATCTTACTTGCCATAAAAGTGATCAGCCAATCAGAATTAAAATTATTGAACTGAAATTGATTAGTAACTGTTACTCCCTACTTCTCCAGCATGTTTGGTAACAAATTCTTTATGTCTAAACTAAATATGTAAAAGAAAAATTGTAATTTTAACATCTTCCTTTAAAATGTGTAAATGAAGTGCTTTCCATTTTTGTATCATCTGTATCCTAAATTTGGATGTGAAAGTTCTTTTTTAAAACTTTATCAAGTTGCTCTTCTCTCTTCATCTTCTCTCTCTCATATTTCCTAAATAAAATGATTCTACTTCACTAAAAAAATTAATGAAATACATAAAAGGAGCTTTGAATTTTATGGGATGGAATGGGAAGGTGAATAGTATATTTTAAAGAACAGAAAAGTGATCCAGAAACAAATTATGATCCATCAGTGAAATAGATAATTGACTGTGATTTTATAACATCCTGTGATGTCAAATTTGAGGAGACCATTAGACCATTAGCTGAGTTTTTGTATAGATCATCTCATGGCACACTTTCTTTCAGATTTGTGGCGCTTGCTCAAGTTTTGCAGTGCAAAAAAGAACAGTCAAGGAAGGGGATGATGGAAGAACTGCAAATTGTAGCAAAATATAATTTTAAAGAGTTTAGGTAATTTAAATTAAGTTATACTTGATACAAACTAGTGCTTCATTTAATTTTAAAATAAAAGCAATATTCCTATAAACTTAAAAACTGGGTAATAAGATGCTAATAGGATTAACCCAGTGAACATATCACACAGAAAATGAACCCAAAACAAGCAATTCTATTTCAGGTTTCCTGTATGCTTCATCAAAATTCAAGTCGCCTCTTCCCTGGCAGAGAAGTGCTATCTTGAACTTTCTGTGTGTGATTTTAGTTTATTTTTGGATTTTATATGTAATTTTATGTATAAAAGCAATATATCTCTAAATAATTCATATTAGTCTTCTATAATTTGTTTTTTATTCAGTACTACAATTAATCCTTGCATTTTTACCTTATCTAAATGTATTTCTACTTTTTTTTTGCTTATTTTGTTTTTTTTGGGGGGGGTCACACCTAGCAATGCTCATGGGTTACTCCTGGCTCTTCACTCAGGAATTACTTCTGGTGTTGCTGGGGGACAATATGGAATGCCAGGGATCGAACCTGGGCCCGTCGCGTGCAAGGCAAACGCCCTACCCACGGTACTATCACTCTGGCCCCCTCTAAATGTACTTCTAAATAACATTATTTAGTTTTTTTGAATTTCAACAAATTTGTTTCATAATATGAAATTTTTGGCACTTGCTATGTTATTGCATTAGAATTCATATGTATTCATTTATTTTTACAATTGTATACTATTTGTGTCACTATATCACAATGCATTTAACCAGTGACTTGTCCATAACCATTAAATTATTTGTGTTTAACTTGTTTCACATTCCATCAGCTTTGCTATAAGTTCTTTCATAAATAATTTTAGGTACAAAATTCAGTGAGGAGTGGGTTTTTCGCAGTTTTTTGTTTTTGTTTTTTTGTTTAGGGGAATTGTGGATTCCAAAATTCCAAAAGTGGAATTGGGGGGCTGGAGGGATGGCACTGCGGGTAGGGCGTTTGCCTTGCATGCAGCCAGCCCATGTTCAAATCCCAGCATCCCATATGTTCCCCTGAGCAATACCAGGAGTGCAGAACCAGGAGTAACCCCTGTGCCCTGTGCAATGCTGGGTGTGACCCAAAAAGCAAAGAAAAAAAAAGTGGAATTGGTTGATTGCAGTATATGTAAGCATTAAAAAATGAGATAAAATAACAAAAATGTAGAAGTACATAAAGCAATTTTTACTTTTCTTTCTTTTTTTTTTTTTAGGAAGTGAGGGCAACTGGCAGTGGTCAGGGCTTCTTCCTAGTTCGGTTCTTAGGGACCACTTTTGGCAGGGCTCAGAAGACTACATGGGGTGCTGGGTATAGAACTTGGGCTAGTCATGTATAAAGCTAGTGCCCTACCCATTGTACTTTCTCCAGGCCAGCCTGATATTTTTGTCAACACTTGGTATTGTCACAATTTTTTGTTTGGCTAACAGTGGGGATAAATTCTTCTAATTTTCCTTTCTGTTCTAGTTTCCCTAGAACAGAGACATTGAGCGATAGCATAGCCGTAGGGTGTTTGCCTTGCACGCAGCCGGCCCAGCAGAGCTGGGTTCAATTCCTCTGCCCCTCTCAGAGAGCCCGGCAAGCTACTGAGAGTATCTCTCCCGCATGGCAAAGCCTGGCAAGCTACTCGTGACGTATTTAATATGCGAAACACAGTAACAACAAGTCTCATGATGGAGATGCTACTGGGCCCTCTCAAGCAAATTGATGAACAACAGGATGACCGTGCTACCGTAAGTTTATCATCTGCATAATAACTTTTGTACAACATCTGTTTATAATGAGAGAAGGCATTTGTATTTCTTATTGAATTTTTGGAGTTCTTATATATTCTCAAATCAACTTTTTTGTTAAAATTTATGTTGCAAGCATCGTGTAACTTGTTTAGTTTTTCTATGTGAACAAATGATCAATTATAATGCATTCAAGTCTATCCATCTTTTCTAGTTTGTTTAGTACTTTTCATTGTTTATGCCATTCACCAACTCAACTGCCTTTTTCTGAAAAGAAACTCCCCTGGGGCAAAAACTACCCTGGTTCTGGGCTTACCTCTCTATATTCATTTTTATACCTGGTAATTCCTTACAAGTTTTATTTATTTGCTTATTTATTTATGTTGCTTTTTGGGTCACACCTGGCGTTGCACAGGGGTTACTCCTGGCTCATGCACTCAGGAATTACTCCTGGCAGTGCTCAGGGGACCATATGGGATGCTGGGAATCAAACCTGGGTCAGCTGCATGCAAGGCAAGTGCCCTAAATACAGTGCTATTGCTCCAGCCCCACAAGTCTTATTAGTTATTTGTGATTTCTAGGTAATCATTTTTCCTTTATCATTTGTCATCATTTACTGCATGAAAGTAAATCCTAAACTACAGAGGTGACTATTACCATAATATTCTCTGTATGTATGTGGGAGTGGGTGTCAGAAGACCAGATATTTTCTCAGTTTCTGGAAGCCCAGCAATGTATTTTTAAAAATATGAACAAGTTGCCATATGGTTGTGGGACAATGGAAGGGCTCTTTCAATGATCTAATCCACTATTTTCAGTCCAAATGTCTGTCTTAAACACAGTAAAATTAATAAGAACATGAGAGAAAAATATTTCCACATTAATAATTGTTTTATATCTCTAATCAAGAAATTCTTAGAGCATATTCTTTTGAATAACAAAGGTGGGACTAGAGAGTTCTAGTGGTAAGGCACTTGTTATGTACATGGCTGATTTCAGTTCCATCCCACTGCCACTTGGTCCTCTGAGTCATGTCGTCAAGAGTGATCTTTAAGCACAGTACTAGGAGTAAATTCTAAGCACTGCTGGGTGCAGCTCCCAAAACAAAGAATAACAAGGAAATTAATAAGGATGTTTTAAAGTGATTAACGAATACAATTAATCTCAGCTTCATTAACTGTCATGAAAATGTAGGTAAAGTTCTGGGGTGAAGCTAGGGCACCCATTATGATTCTACTGACCTGATCTGAAAGAATATGACCAGGTAGATCTGAATTAGGCTATTTTTGAGAGTTAGTCCTGGAATTTCAGGTGTTCAACAATTTGTATCTCTTTACTCTATAAACCTATAACTCAATGTATTTCATGACTAGTAATGCTGAGATGAGTTAACACTGTTGAAATATGAAGAATTTTTTCCCTTCTATCTTTAAGTGAAATGTCACTAAAATAAGACATTTTTAAGAAGATACTCAGAGAGAGTCAAAATAAGAATAACTCCATTTCACAATATATTTATGGCACTGGGGGCTTTAAAAAGTCAAACATTTGATTTATACAAGCATTATTTCTCATTTTGTATAAATTAGTATCTTTGAAGAATTTTCTCATTTGAACAAAGTCACTTAGTCACCTTTTACGGTGAAAGGATATTTTAGTGAAGCAAGATAGTTTCTATTGAAAAAAATTACTTAGAAAAACATGAAGGGAGCAAAAGAAAGAGCATGGCCTTCTCCAGAGTGAAAAGAAAAGCAAGCAAAGATATGTGTTCAAGCTTAGGAAATTTTAAGCCCTGGTTTAATTAAGTAAATAGACGCATTTAATTCAA